AGGTAGGATCTAAGATGTATCCTTACCTGTGCTCGATCGGATTCGGTTCGGCTGGCCCTCCAACTGCTCTCTAGGCGTCTTTTCCGACGTTTCATCTCTCTCAGCCCCTCGGTAAACCAAGGAGATGGTCGAGATCCACGTCGGGTCAGAGGCCGCAAAGGCACGACTCGGTCCAATGCTGCGGCGGCAGTTGTCTCCCCAGTCAGTGGGGAAGCCACCAGGAAGTCGCATGTTCCAGACAGGTTCACAAACAGGCCAATCGACAGGTAAGTGACTGCTGCAGCGCAGTGCAAGTGTGGCCGAGCCAGGTGAGGGTGGTGTTGCAGGTGTGTGCGAGGGAGTACTCTGTAGCCAGGCTCCTTGGAAGAAAAAGAGGCAGGACTGCAAGCAATTTACCAGAGTGACTTGTGACCTTCTCTGCCGGCTTCCCCACTGACTTTGTGGGAAGTACAGAGTACAGAGAAGAGCAACAAAGACGATCAGGGGACTGGAGGCTAAAGCATATAAGGAACGGCTGCTGGAATTGGGTATGTCTAGTTTAACGAAAAGAAGGACGAGGGGGGACATGATAGCAGTGTTCCAGTATCTGAGGGGCTGCCACAAAGAAGAGGGAGTCAAGCTATTTTCCAAAGTGCCTGAAGGCAGGACAAGAAGCAACGGGTGGAAACTAACCAAGGAGAGAAGTAACCTAGAACTAAGGAGAAACTTCCTGACAGTTAGACCAATTAACCAGTGGAACAACCTGCCTCCAGAAGCGGTGAATGCTCCAACACTGGAAGTTTTTAAGAAGAGACTGGACAGCCATTTGTCCGAAATGGTATAGGGTTTCCTGCCTGAGCAGGGGGTTGGACTAGATGACCTCCAAGGTCCCTTCCAACTCTACTACTACTACTACTACTACTACTACTACTACTACTACTACTACTACTATTATTATTATTATTATTATTATTATTATTATTATGTCAGCAGGGCAGGTCATGAATGTTGATCACACGACCATGGGACACACTGCAACCGTTGCTAAGCGTGAATAGGTTGTCTAGTCTCTGCTTCCTGAACTTCGAGCACCAGTCGAAACTTCAGGTAGTCCTTGACTTATGACCACAATATAAGCCCCAAATTTCTCTTGCTAAGCAAGGCATAGATTCAGTGAGTTTTGCTCCATTTTATGATTTTTCTTGCCACAGCTGTTAAGTGAATCTCTGCAGTTGTTAAGTTAGTCACACGGTTGTTAAGGGAATCTGGTTCCCCGTTGATTTTGCATGTCGGAAGGTCACAAAAGGGGAATTAACGTGAGCTGGGGACACTGCAACCGTCATATATACATGCCAGTTGCCAAGCATCTGAATTTTGATCACGTGGCCCTGGGGATCCTGCAGCGGTCGTAAGTGTGAAAAAAACGTAAATCACTTTTTTCAGTGCCGTTATAAACTCCAAATGGTTGCTAAACAAATGGGTTGTTTAAGTTGAGGACTACCTGAACCGCTCATTTAGCACCCTCCCAAATTTGAATAGTTGCTGAAACATTGGTTTTCAGCTGAAGACCTCTGTAATAGACTTATGTTATCAACACAAAATACGAAAAACAAACTTTTTTTAAGAACTTTGTTCTTTTGGATGAGCGGCCTCCAAGAAAGCAAAAACTCTCACCTTCTCCCGCACACTTTTACAAAAGGCCATATCTGGATCCGTGTCCTCCAAGGTGAAAATATTGCGTTGGGGCAAATCCTGCCTTAAGATCTCCCCTTTCAACAGGTAGGCCTGAGAGATATAGGGGACGTTCCACACGCCACTGCGATAGGGAAAAGCAACATGAGAATCAGCGGTACCATAAACAAGGCAGCAGGTATGGAGATCGAAAAATTAAAGGGGGAAAAAAAAGCTATTCCTTTTTTGGACTATGCCAAGGAGTATAGGAGTATATTCAGTCCAAAATTCCAGATGGAGCAAAGCGTCTTGGAAGACCGCTGGGAGAGAGAGAGAGATTAAGGATGGAGGCCATCTCCTTCTGTTGCTTCCCAAGAACTGAAACTGAGAGATGCTACTTCCACTGGCAATGGAGGTTCTACTTTGCTACTTTTGAAATCAAATTTATGGAGGAGGGTTTGCTCCACAGAGGGCACGACACCCATATTTTGCCACACCCAAACTGGAATCTTTCCTTTCCGGCCCTGGGAACATAGGAATGCCAAACCCCCAACGGCAAAGATGGAATTCCGGCAGGATTTGTTTGCCTGCATTTTACAATTGATGGGGCTCAACCTGACAAAGTAGCGTGTTTCCTATCAGCTGGGCCTGGCTTAAATGAGTTTGGCAGTATGAGTATAGCTTCTTTTTCAGCTTTCCCCAAATGTTTAGGGTCAGAGAAAGGTTACAAACCTCTTTGTAAAGATTCTATGCTCCCATCTCCAAATGGAAAGAGAGAAATGGGCAGAAAAGCAGCCAAGTTTTAATCCAGTGATTCTTAACCTTGGTCACTTTAAGATGGATGAACGTCAAACTCTCAGAATTCTGGGAGTTGAAGTCCACCCGTCTTAAAGCTAACAAATTTCAGAAACACTGTTCTGTTCTAATCTAATCTAATCTAATCTAATCTAATCTTATCTAATGTAATCTTTTTTTTTTTGATCCCAGGGATTTGTGCCTACAGGATTCCACCTGTGACTATTACTTCAAGCCTACTTCCCTTTTAAATTCTCAAAATGCCCTACAAAAAAATTTGACTTTTTCAACCACAGCCCTTTTGATGTCATCACAACATCCCAGAGCAGACCTGGGCATTTTACGGCCCTCAGGCCACATCCGGCCGTTTGGCTGTCCCTGTCCTGCCCGTAGGACAGGGGTAGTCAACCTTGGCTCTTTTATGACTCGTGGACTTCAATTCCCAGAATTCCTGAGCCAGCTAAGCTGGCTCAGGAATTCTGGGAGTTGAAGTCCACGAGTCATAAAAGAGCCAAGGTTGACTACCCCTGCCGTAGGAGGTCAATCGGAAATTAGAGAGCAACAGCACTTAGACTTATATGCTGCTTGTGCCTTACAGCCCTCTCTAAGCGTTTTACAGAGTCAGTATATTGTCCCCAACAATGTCCTCATTTTACAGACCTCGGAAGGACGGAAGGCTGACTCAACCTTGAGATGGTCAGGTTCGAACTGCTAGCAGTAGGCACAATCAGCCTGCAATATTGCATTCTAACTATTGCGCCATCACAACTGCTATCATCAAATGTAAATAAATGTACGCCATGTGTGCACTAAAACTGCACTGCTTTTGTTTCGAAGGTGACTGCTATTTTTCCCCCCAATTTACTTATATGCATGCATGAGTGCCTACACGGCTGCTGGAACTGGGTATGTCTAGTTTAACGAAGAGAAGGACGAGGGGGGACATGATAGCAGTCTTCCAATATCTCAGGGGCTGCCACAAAGAAGAGGGAGTCAAGCTATTTTCCAAAGCGCCTGGAGGCAGGACAAGAAGCAACGGATGGAAACTAATTAAGGAAAGAAGCAACCTAGAACTAAGGAGAAACTTCCTGACAGCTAGAACAATTAACCAGTGGAACAACCTGCCTCCAGAAGCGGTGAATGCTCCAACCCTGGAAGTTTTTAAGAAGAGACTGGACAGCCATTTGTCCGAAATGGTATAGGGTTTCCTGCCTGAGCAGGGGGTTGGACTAGATGACCTCCAAGGTCCCTTCCAACTTTACTACTATTATCTTCACAGCTCTACTGGTTCAGCCCTGCACAACTGTTTTTCATGCGGCCCTTTAGGAAAATTAATTGCCCATCTCTGTCCCAGAGGTTTTTTGTTCATCTTTAAAAGGCTAGGAGCCCATGTTGCTGCCCTCGATGGCTAAAAGCTCTAAATGTGAAGCGTACTAATGATTCAAACCCAGTTTAACCTAGTCTAGCTTGTTTCACACACATAGCCACCAATTTGATTTGAACTGTGTCTATCCAGACCGCGTCCAACACTCTAAGTGCAAAATCACATGTGTTCTCTAGCCATAAAATCAGTCTTCTCAAACTCCAGATTTCTGCTTTAGCTTAGCATCTTGTAATGGTATGTGGAAAAGACCTTGGGAGATGGAGCAAAGAGAATGCCTAAGGACTGTGCCAAAGATGCTTTTTCACAAGGCAACTGGACTTTCTTGTTTTCTTTTGAAGATCTTTCACTTCTTGTCCAAGAAGCTTCTTCAGCCCTGACTGGATGGTGGGGAATGGAAGGATTTATACTCCTTGCAGACAGCTGGTCATTTGCATTCTTTTAGAGGGTCGTTGAGGCCACCTGGAGCTTTATCTGTGTTGTCACGGTCACCTGATTAGTGCAAATGGGTGTGGAGCCTCTTGGAACTGTTGGAAGGACTGTGTGGTAGACTGGAGATATATGGTGTCGTATCCCTCCCCCTCAGTTGCAGAGAAGCCTGTTTAAAATTGTGACCCTGAGGACACAGATAAACCTCCAGGTGGCCCCACTGACCCTCTAAAAGAATGCAAATAACCAGCTGTCTGCAAGGAGTATGAATCCTTCCATTACCCACCATCCAGTCAGAGCTGAAAACGCTTCTTGGATGAGAACTGAAAAGTCTTCAAAGAAAAACAAGAAAGTCTAGTTGCTTCTTGAACAGGCACCTTAGGATAACTGAGAATTTCCACAGACATTTGCCTAAGGAGTAGTTAAATAAGAGACAGCATAGCCCTCACCTAGATAGTGGGTAAAGCAAGAGGCTCAGAAGAGACCATCCCTAATTTCTTGGTACGTAAAGGAGACAGTGGGAGATTTGTATTATCAGATCTATACGATTTTGCTAACTAGACTTACAATAAAGTGAGACAGTGGGAGATTTGTACTTTCAGACTTGCGAGTTTCTAATAATTAGCCTTACAATAAAGCAGAATTCAGTCATCTTGTCATCTTTCCTGTCTGGTCTACATGGGAAGACTTGACACATCTGGTTGACTTGTAGAAGTCTTCAGCTCTGCAAAAGCCACCTTCCACCCAACCATCTAGATGCTTAAAGTTCCCACTTACATTCTCTTGCCTTGCACCAATTCCACATAGTCCTCTGAGCGGGCGTAATAGTCATCGGGGCTAAGGGCACCCCAAAAGTTGGACCAAAGCTTGGCATACCGAGACATCATGGGAGCAATCACGTTCCTGGATGGTGCAGAGGAGTAATACAGAAGTCAGGAGAGTAAAAGCCAGCGGGCGATAGGAGAAGTCAGTATGGCCCGCAGCTGGGCCGAGCACTTGGGTGGGTGTGGAACTACTGCTTACTTGTTCTCCTGCACTAGTATCTGCAGGATTTCGGGATTTGTCATCACCACATCAGCATCGACGCTGAAGTAATAGTCGCAGGTGGAATCCTGTCGGCACAGATCCCTGGAATGCAAAAAAAGAAGAGAAAAAAGAAGATGGATTAGAACTGTGTTTCTCAAATTTGGCAGCTTTAACATGGGTGGACTTCAACTCCCAGAATTCCCCAGACAGCCAGGCTAGCTAGGGAATTCTGGGAGTTGAAGTTCACCCATCTTAAAGTGACCAAGGTTAAGAAACACTGGATTAAAACTTTGATGCTTTGCTGCCCATTTCTCTCTGCCAATCAAATACAGGAGACCCTGAACAGGTAGTCCTCGACTTACGACCACAATGGAGCCCAAAATTTCTCTTGCTAAAAGAGACATTTGTTAAATGAGTTTTGCCCTATTTTACGACCTTCCTTACCACACTTGTTAAGGGAATCCCTGCAGTTGTTAAATTAGTGACACGGTCGTTAAGTGAAGCTGGCTTTCTCCAGTGGTGGGATTCAAATACCCGAACAACCAGTTCTCTGTGTGGATGCAGGCCTGGGCCTCTGAGGCCTCGAATGGACTTCCGGAAGTGACATCCACGCACTTCCTGTGGGCCGTTCTAGGCCTCCGAGGCCTAGAACAGACTTCCGGAAGTGACATCCACGCACTTCCTGTGGGCTGTTCTAGGCCTGGGAGGCCTCCTCCGGGCCTCCGAGGCCTAGAACGGACTTCCAGAAGCAACGTGGGTTCAGCCGGTTTTCTGAACTCAACAACATTTAGCTACCGGTTCTCCTGAACCGGTATGAACCGGCTGAGTCCCACCACAGGCTTTCCCATTGTCTTTGCTCGTCAGAAGTTTACAAAAGGTGATCACATGAGGCAACCATCATAAATATAAAATAGTTGCCAAGCATCTGAATTTTGATCACATGACCATGGGGATGCTGCAATGGTCGTTAAGTGTGAAAAATGGTCATGTCACTTTTTTCAGTGCCATTCTAACTTTGAACAGTCAGTAAACATATTGTAGTAAGTCAAGGACTAGCTGTAGTTATTATCTGCAACTTCAATAGACCCAGCTCATTGATGAAGTAGGTTAGTGATATCTGGAGATTTGTGTTTTTCCCCAGGAAGCGACGTAATTTCTGGTTCCTTTTCCAAGTTCCTCCTGGGCTACAAAGGCAGATGCAATCAGTCAAAGCGTTGAGGAAGAGACTGAACACATGGAAGGATCTTCAGTTTTCAACTTGGCTTACTTTAGCACTTGAAAATGCACTGCTCTTCTGCCCTTGCCATCCCAAAAAGCTCTTTTGCCTTTCAAAAGACTCTAGGCACATGGAGAGAGGATTAAGAGCTATATCTAGCTAGGCAGGAGCCAATAGTTCTTAGGCTAGAAAGAACCGGTATGTAAATATGGAGCAGTTCTCAAGCATGGGAATACAATGGCTTACAGTGAGGGGCTGCCACAAGGCAGAGTGGGCCAGGTTATTCACCAAAGCACCAGATGGAAGGACGAGAAACAATGGTTGGAAACTGATCAAAGAGAGAAGCAACCTGGAATTAAGGAGAAACTCCCTGACAGTGAGGACAATCAACCAGTGGAACAGCTTGCCTCCAGAAATTGTGGGTGCTCCATCACTGGAGATTTTAAAGAAGAGGCTAGAGGCTGTCTGAGACAGTGTAGGTTCTCCTGCTTGAGCAGGGGGCTGGACTAGAAGACCTCCAAGGTCCCTTCCAGTTCTATTCTATTCTATTCTATTCTATTCTATTCTATTCTATTCTTTAAATCCTGGAGTAGACAAGTATCTTGATTTTTATCCTTGGGTTCAGGCATATGTTCCCCACTTATGTGGCTTTTATTGTATCAAGAATACAGCCACTTATCAACATAGGTGGTACCTCACTCAATAGTAGTAACTGTGAGAGGGATCTCGGAGTCCTATTGGACAATCACTTAAATATGCATTAACAGAGGGATAGAATCAAGATCACATGAAGTGTTAATACCACTTTACAATGCCTTGGTAAGACCACACTTGGAATACTGCATCCAGTTTTGGTCACCACGATGTAAAAGAAAAGATTGAGACTCTAGAAAAAGTGCAGAGAAGAGCAACAAAGATGATCAGGTGACTGGAGGCTAAAACATATGAAGAACGGTTGCTGGAATTGGGTATGTCTAGTTTAACGAAGAGAAGGACGAAGGGGGACATGATAGCAGTGTTCCAATATCTCAGGGGCTGCCACAAAGAAGAGGGAGTCAAGCTATTCTCCAAAGTGCCTGAAGGCAGGACAAGAACCAATGGATGGAAGGAGAGAAGCAACCTAGAACTAAGGAGAAATTTCCTGACAGTTAGAACAATTAATGAATGGAACAACTTATCTCCAGAAGTGGTGAATGCTCCAACACTGGAAGTTTTTAAGAAGAGACTGGACAACCATTTGTCTGAAATGGTATAGGGTTTCCTGCCTGAGCAGGGGGTTGGACTAGAAGACCTCCAAGGTCCCTTCCAACTCTGTTATTCTATTCTAACATGTGTTAAATCTGGGAACTTCTGTTGTATTTCTGAACTTGGGACAAAACATCAGCAGTAATAATTCATTACTATGTCTCGCCTGAAATCTGACAATAATTAAAACGACATACTTGAAAGTTAGCGTTTAGTAACAACAAGCGAAGCTTTCCCAATTAAATTTCTGCCTGGTCTTGCAGGGGGGAGGTGGACATGATGCTTAAAGCATTCCTTTGCATCTCTGCTTTTGCTCTGGCAGGCATCTAATTTCATACACACACAGACACACACACAAATTGCCTGTGCTTTTCTACCAATTGAGATAACTGAATCTGTCATTTCTTACCCTGTATTTACTTACATAGCCATATCTCGGGCTTCACCCTCGCTCAGATCCTCTTCCGGCCCGATTAGTTTGATGGGGTGAAAGGCCTTGCGAAGTTGATCCCATTCAGCTTGGATGTGGGGCTCATGGTACACCTCCTGGCAAAATGTCAGACAGGTTTATTAGTGTCCTTGAGCAGCCAAGATGGAGAGGAATTTCAGGGTTCGAATAAGGAGGTGGAATGGCATCTATGGAGGTGGAATGGCATCTATGAATGACCTTAGGAGACGGCAAGAATAATGATTCACAACCTCAGCAACTTGAAGATGTGTGGACTTCAACTCCCAGAATTCTGGGAGATGAAGTCCACATATCTTCAGGTTGCCGAAGTTGAGAAACTAGACTACACAACGGTCAGACAAGAGACAGTTGAGCCTGCACAAGAAACAGGACATGGCAACGGTCCCTAGCTCGTTTAGAAGAGCCTTGATGGCATGGTGGTTAGAATGCAGTATTGCAGGCTACTTCTACTGACTGCCGGCTGCCAACAGTTCGATTCTCACCAGCTCAAGGTTGACTCGGCCTTCCATCCTTCCGAGGACAGTAAAATGAGGACCAGGATTGTTGGGGGGCAAATATGCTGACTCTGCAAACCACTTAGAGAGGGCTGTAAAGCATTGTGAAGCGGTATATTAGTCTAAGTGCTATTGCTATTCTTAGACTGTAAATGTGAGGGAGATGCACTTTCCACTAATGTAACCATACACTAAAACAGAGCGAGTACTCCTGAGTGTGCTTCTTATCAGGACTACCTCACAAGGTTGACAGGAAGGCAGTGGAAATAATAGGATGACTCTTAAACCTACAAGTCCCACCCTCAATTCTCTTCCTGGGTAACCACATTACATTCCAGCCAGCCAGGACCTTTCTACAAGCTAGAAATATTGTATTACTTGAAATGTCACAGCAGTGATTTGAATTGTTTTGTATTTTATATTGCTGCAGACAGTCTCAATTTGCTCAGGCTATATTTTGTTTTCTGTCCTTTTTGGAAATACGCTTCTGTACTTAATTATAAGTTCAATTGGAGTATGCTAAGCTTGGTTATTGTGCATTTTTAACATTTTTTTGAGATCTCCACAGATTTCAACTGTATAACTGGAAGAGGGGGAAGCTAACATCTGTTCCCTATTCATCCCCCCCAGGGAATCCAGAGTTACAACCTCTGCAATAGATACCATGTCCAGCTGTGGATCTCATTTCTGTGACACATAAGCTGAAAAGCAACCAGTATCAAGGAAATTACTGAAATAAAGGAAGTCACAAGGTTGAGTAATCCCAGAAGTTCCCCATAACATGGTGGCCCTCTAGATGTGTGGGAAGACCACTCTCATTATTCCCAGCTGGCAAGCCCATGGGCTGATGGGAGTTGCAGTCTTAAGTCAAGGCGGGCTGCTTATTGGCTCAACTCACGTGGTTGTGAATGAAGAGGCTGAGGTGAGAATAAGGGTAATCCAAAGTCAGAAGACGCTGAAGAAACTGAGGCAAGAACGGTATTGGCTTTTCAATAAAGACACCCAGCAGAACACGTGGATATGATTCTTCCTAGCAAAGGAAGACAGGAAAAGAGATTTATGTCTCAAAGCTCTCAGCTCAGACCAGGGATGTCTAACCTTGGCAGCTTTAAGATTTGTGGACTTCAACTCACAGAATTCCCCAACCAGCATGGTTGGCTGAAGAATTCTGGGAGCTGAAGTCCATAAGTCTTAAAGTTACCAAGGTTGGACATCCCTGACTTAGATACTTACTAAAGTCCATCTGGGTTATATTCCTCCCCTACTTTCACCTCTAGTAGGATACCCAGAGACTCACTGGCACGTCTGACAGATCCAGGAGGTCATCATCGCATACTTCGCAGCCTCCCTCGTATGTCCAGGCATTGGGGATGTAATTCCCCAAATAATTCAGCTGTAACTGCATGGAGAGAAGGGAAAAGTCTGTGAAAGATGGAATGAAGGTGAGTTGCACCAATACAGGTAGTCCTCGACCTACGACCGCAATTGACCTCAAAAATTTTTGTTGCTAAGTGACACATTCGTTAAGTGTCCCATTTTATTCTCTTTCTTGCCACAGTGATTAAGTGAAACACTGCCGCTGTTAATTTTTGGTAAGGCCACACTTGGAATACTGCATCCAGTTTTGGTCACCACGATGTAAAAAAGATGCTGAGACTCTAGAAAGAGTACAGAGAAGAGCAACAAAGATGATTAGGGGACTGGAGGCTAAAACATACAAGGAATGGTTGCTGGAATTGGGTATGTCTAGTTTAACGAAGAGAAGGATGAGGGGGGACATGATAGCAGTCTTCCAATATCTCAGGGGCTGCCACAAAGAAGAGGGAGTCAAGTGATTCTCCAAAGCGCCTGAAGGCAGGACAAGAAGCAACGGGTGGAAACTAACCAAAGAGAGAAGCAACCTAGAACTAAGGAGAAACTTCCTGACAGTTAGAACAATTAACCAGTGGAACAACCTGCCTCCAGAAGCGGTGAATGCGCCAACACTGGAAGTTTTTAAGAAGAGACTGGACAGCCATTTGTCCGAAATGTTATAGGGTTTCCTGCCTGAGCAGGAGGTTGGACTAGATGACCTCTGAGGTCCCTTCCAACTTTATCATTATCATTATCATTATTACTATTATAGTAATACGGTTGTTAAAAGTGAATCTGGCTTCCCCACTGACGTTGCTTGTCAAAAGGTCGCAAAATGGGATCATGATATGACCCCAGGACACGGCAACGGTCATAAATGTGAACCAGTTGCCAAGCGTCTGAATTTTGATCATGTGACCATGGGAGGATGCTGCAAGGATCGTTAAGTGTGAAAAACTGTCATAAGTCACGTTTTTTCAGTGCTGTTGCAACTTCAAACGGTCATTAAATGAACTGTTATATGTTGAGGGTTACCTGTATTTTGCTCAGCAGCAGAAAAACAGGGAAGAGAGAATTCAGTGCCAGGGCAGACCTCTTTGTAGATTTACTACAAGTATGGACATTTCTGAGATATTCCACACATGGATTAAAGCAGGGCTTTTCAACCAGTGGTAAGGGTACCACCTGTGGTACATTGGCACCTGGCAGGTGGTACGTGACCATCCTAGAAAAGTGGTAGCGGGGGAGGGGAATGAGCTGAACTGGTGGCAGCACCGCCCAAGCCTGAGCGAGAGATGGCTGGAGCTGCAGGGCTGTCAGGGCTCAGTGGAAGCGCCAGGATCAGTGCCGCTTTCCAGCTGATCGGCGCTTCTTCGGGGCTGCAAGGCTGTCAGGACTCAGCGGAAGCGCCAGGATCAGTGCCGCTTTCCAGCTGATCGGCGCTTCTTCGGGGCTGTCAGGGCTCAGCGGAAGTGCCAGGATCAGTGCCGCTTTCCAGCTGATCGGCGCTTCTTTGGGGCTGTCAGGGCTCAGCGGAAGCGCCAGGATCAGTGCCGCTTTCCAGCTGATCGGCGCTTCTTCGGGGCTGTCAGGGCTCAGCGGAAGCACCAGGATCAGTGCCACTTTCCAGCTGATCGGCGCTTCTTCGGGGCTGTCAGGGCTCAGTGGAAGCGCCAGGATCAGCGCCAGGCTCCAGCTGGAGCTCGGCACTGATCCTGGTGCTTCTGCTGAGCCCTGAAGAAGCACTAATCAGCTGGAAAGCAGCACTGATCCTGGTGCTTCTGCTGAGTCCAGAAGAAGCGCCGATCAGCTGGAATGTTGCAGCATCTCCAGGGTCTTGTGATTTACATTCAGATGCTTGGCAACTGATTCATATTTATGATGGTCACAGTGTCCCAGGGTCATGTGAAGTGACCAAAACCTGCTGCAACCACCCAGCAGATGGAGGGGGAATAAAAACCAAACACCCCCCACCCCACCCCCGCTGCCAATCCTCAACAGAAATGCTCACAGCAATGAAAACCTTGGACAGGTGTCTTGCTCGGCTGTGGCTTGGGGGGCACTTTTTTCAGTGCCACTGTAACTTTGAACAGTCACTAAGCGAACTGTTGTAAATCGAGGACTACCTATACTTTATCACTTTTTTTCCTTTTTTTTTTTGGTCATCACATTTTTGACACCTTGCTAGGCGACGGGTGGTACTTGGGATGTTGCCATATCCTAAAAGTGGTACAATGGGTGAAAAGGTTGAAAAGCCCTGGATTAAAGAACTGGAATTTCCCATAAAGCCACAGCAGTGGTGTTGGCTCTTAAAAATGGAAAATTATAGCTATGGGTTTGAGATGAAGATGGATTCATCCAAAAATTGTATTTAGGACGTGTGGGACTCCTCAATTTCAAACCATCGCTAAATGAACTGTTGTTAAGTCGAGAAATACCTTCCAAAATTGGATTCGGCTTTTGAGACTCTTAATAAGTGAACAAGGAAGAAAGTGAATTTGAAATGGTTTGGAGAGCACTGGCTATCAAGAGGAAAGAGAAGCCTTGTTTATCTACCCACTCCCTGAACAGTGGAAACCCAATACCAGCTTCCTAAGCAGGCAAGTACGCACAGCCATTTAGCTATGGTGCAACCTGCTCCACAGGATCTTGGAATGGAGTCCCACTCTGGGTAAAGATTGTGCAAATTTAAAATTGTAAAGAGGAAAAAAAGTTACCTTGGTGGGTCCGTTGCCATGGATAACCACAGGAAGAGTATCGTATGCAACGTTGCGGGCTCGCACGCGGGTCTGCTCAAATTTCAGCACAACCTCTTCTGTGAAACCAGGAAGAAAAAAGTATAAAATGAGCCAGTTTGGTGTAGTGGCTAAGTTGCTGGCCTAGAAACCAGGAGACTGTGTGTGAGTTCTGGTCCCTCTTACTTTGGGCCAGTCACTCCCTTTCTGTCCAATCTACCTTGCAGGGTTGTAGATACCTGTGTTTCCCCGGAAATAAGACTGGATCTTATATTAATTTTTGCTCCAAAAGATGCATTAGGGCAGTGATGGCAAACCTTTTAGAGACCGAGTGCCCAAACTGCAACCCAAAACCCACTTATGCATCATTGGGTGCCGGGTGGGTGTGGCCTATTGGGTGGGCGTGGCTGCAGTGGTAACAGTAGACTGGGTGGGACTAAAAAGTTCAATCAATCAATTCCAACTTTGCAAGTTTTTTTTCCCGCGAGAAGTTGAAATTGACTGATTGATTGAACCTTTTGTTTTGTAAACGGTGGCGGAGGTTTTATAAAACCCAGCTGAAGGCCTAGGACTGGGGTGATGGCGCGCGTGCCCACAGAGAGGGCTCTGAGTGCCAACTCTGGCACCCGTGCCATAGGTTCGCCACCACTGCATTAGGGCATATTTTCCGGTTAGGGCTTATATTTGGGGAAATACGGTACTAAATGCATCCATCTGGTTGACGATCTTAACCGGGGCTTATTTTTGGGGTGGGGCTTATATTATGAGCATCCTGAAAAAATCATTCTAGGGCTTATTTTCCGGTTGGGCCTTATTTTCTGGGAAACACGGTATGGGGAAAATAGGAGGCAGGAGCATAAATACAAATATAAGCCAGCTTACATTTTTACACACACACACACACACGTTTGATTGTGTTTGTGTCTGTATGTGTGCACATTAGGGTTTTTTTTACATTGCATCGTTTTAATGTTGTAAGCTGCCCAGAGTCACCATGCATGAGTTCGATGACTATATAAATTTGCTTAATAAATAAATAGGTGGGGAAAACATAGATTAAATAAAATGATGTTGACAATGATGATAGAAATGGCGCCATTATGTTAATTTCTTCTAATCTAGAAGGTTCAGAGGCACAAAGAGAGCAGGAGTGCTGTCTCTCATTCTCCAGTTCTGGCTTTCTGAATTCACCAGGGATACATCCAAGGAGACTGCTGGTCATCTGTAGTGGACGTTCTTCAAGCCCATTAAATCATAATAGCCTTAACCGGAGATGTCTGTGGCGTATATCTGGGTGCAAATGATAAAACAAGCCACAAACCGCACCAACACTAAACTCCACCTTTTGGTATGTGCATTGCGATGTTGTAGGCACATACACAAGGTTGATGATAGCTTCAAGCTATTAGAATAGTTGTTTTGACTAAATTGCCGGACATCCCTGGTCTCCTTCATTCTGCTCCAAGTTAGTTTTCAACTGCACTGACGTTTGTCAAGGTGACAAGTCTTGTATTTTGAGATCTCCAGGTCACAAAATTTCCCGTCTGCTCTCATCCTGCTCCTTCAAGCCTTTCCTTCCCTGCTAGACATATTTTTGCTGATTCTCCTCACTGGGACACCGCTCACTTACCAATGGCCCCATTCAGGTTCTGGAAGATTTTGGACGTGTGATCCAAGGCGATCCCGTATTTTTCCTACAAACACAACAGTGAGGAACTAAGATCAGAGTCTTTTCCTTACACCATGCATTATTCTTCTCATCCTTCTACAAAACCGTCCATGGTCAAGTTACAAATCAGGCCCTTGGGAGGGACACTGAACTGTAGCTCAACAATGTGGTGAGTTGTAGATCCAGACTTAGTTGCTGGTATTTTGTAAAATTCTTCCTGGCTAGAGCTGCTTCTTCAAAAGTGGGGTGGGAAAACCTGAAACTCAGTTTAGCAACTCAGCCCATTGGTCACTATGTAACTTGACTTTCGCATCGTATTTTAGATTCTGCTAATTGTATATTGCATTAAATGACATGCATTTCAGTTTTGGGGGAGGTTGGTCCTGCTCCCACAAACAGATAGCCCTACTCCAAGCAAACTTCCTCACATTAACTGGGTCAAAAGTACCATTTGGGGGGAATACAGGAAGTCCTCAACTTACAACCATAATGGAGTCTGCCCATTATGGCCATAAGTCGTGACAGTTATAAAGCAAGTCACCCATGTGACCAACCTGATTTTTATGACCTTTTTTATGGTGATTGTTAAGCAAATTAATTGTTCGTTATGGACAAGTTTTGCTAAATAACAAGAAGTAAATGCCAGTTTTTTTGNTGAACTGTTGTTAAGTCGAGAAATACCTTCCAAAATTGGATTCGGCTTTTGAGACTCTTAATAAGTGAACAAGGAAGAAAGTGAATTTGAAATGGTTTGGAGAGCACTGGCTATCAAGAGGAAAGAGAAGCCTTGTTTATCTACCCACTCCCTGAACAGTGGAAACCCAATACCAGCTTCCTAAGCAGGCAAGTACGCAAAGCCATTTAGCTATGGTGCAACCTGCTCCACAGGAACCTGGAATGGAGTACCTACTCTGGGTAAAGATTGTGCAAATTTAAAATTGTAAAGAGGAAAAAAAGTTACCTTGGTGGGTCCGTTGCCATGGATAACCACAGGAAGGGTATCATATGCAACGTTGCGGGCTCGCACGCGGGTCTGCTCAAATTTCAGCACAACCTCTTCTGTGAAACCAGGAAGAAAAAAGTATAAAATGAGCCAGTTTGGTGTAGTGGTTAAGTTGCTGGCCTAGAAACCAGGAGACTGTGTGAGTTCTGGTCTTCCTTACTTTGGGCCAGTCACTCCCTTTCTGTCCAACCTACCTTGCAGGGTTGTAGATACCCGTGTTTCCCCGGAAATAAGACTGGATCTTATATTAACTTTTGCTCCAAAAGATGCATTAGGGCAGTGGTTCTCAACCTGTGGGTTGGGACCCCATTTGGGGTCGATCGACCATTTCATGGGGGTCGCCAAGCAAGACTGTCCGCCATTTTTTTTGTCCGCCATTTTTTTGTCCGCCATTTTCCCCCCCTTTTCTGGCGGGTGCCTTACCTCCCTTGAGCTGGGCCAGCTGGTGGTCGGCCTGCTCCGTCTCTGCCGCTTGCCAGCTACGCCTTGGCCAGCGCAGGGGGCGGAACCACGCATGCGTGGCGCTCCCGGGCAGGGAAAGTCCTCGACTTACGATCGGTTGGGTAGTCCTCGACTTACGACCGGTTAAGTCCTCGACTTACAACCGGTTTAGTCCTTGACTTACGACCGGTTTAGTCCTCGACTTACGACCAGTTGGGGTCACGGCATTAAAAAGGTTGAGAACCACTGCATTAGGGCATATTTTCCGGTTAGGGTTTATATTTGGAGAAATACGGTACTAAATGCATCTGTCTGGCTGACAATCTTAACTGGGGCTTATTTTTGGGGTGGGGCTTATATTACGAGCATCCTGAAAGAAATCATGCTAGGGCTTATTTTCCGGTTGGGCCTTATTTTCTGGGAAACACGGTATGAGGAAAATAGGAGGCAGGAGCATAAATACATATATAAGCCAGCTTACATACATACATACATACACACATACATACATACATATAGATAGATATAGATAGATATAGATATAGATATATAAAATATATGATATGGTTGATATGGAGTCGAACAAGTGGCTAGTTTGATTGTGTTTGTGTCTGTATGTGTGCGCATCCGGGGTTTTTTTACATTGTATCGTTTTAATGTTGTAAGCTGCCTAGAGTCACCATGTGTGAGTTCGGTGACTATATAAATTTGCTTAATAAATAAATAGGTGGGGAAAACATAGATTGCAATTAAATAAAATGATGTTGACGATGATGATAGAAATGGCACAATTACCGTATATACTCGAGTATAGGTCGACCTGAATATAAGCCGAGGGACCGATTTTCCCACAAAGAACTGGGAAAAATTGGTGACCCGCTTATAAGCCGAGGGGGCATTTTGGCTGTTCCTCCCTGGCCGTCTCAGCCTCCCTAGCTGTCGGTGAGCGCCCGTCAGGGCGCAGCGTCGCCAGGCCTCCCCCCTTCGTGCGAGGCGTCTGGCGTTCCCCCTCGCGCTTGGCTGCGGCAGCCCGGGGTATTCCGTCCCAGCCTCGACACGCAGCGCCGCAGGGAACAGAAGGTAAGGGGGGAGGGCCGTACCTGGAGCATCACAGGCCGGGGCGACGCCGGGAACGAGCTGGGCGGCCGCGGTGGCGGTGGGAACGAGCCGGGCGGCTGCGGCGGCGGCAGGAACACGCTGGCCCAGCTCATTGC